GTTAGAGTTGCCAACAGAACTAGCAACAGTGTATCCAGTTTTTCACACTTCATTGTTGAAGAAGTGTATGGGTGATCCAGCATCTATAGTACCTTTAGAAAGCATGGCGGTGAATGATAGTCTCACTTATGAAGAGGTACCAGTTGAAATCGGTTCGAAGGTTGAGAAACAAAGAAGTCGCTTCAGTCAAGGTTTTATGGAGGAGTCAGTACGTAGAGGTACCTACTTGGGAGGCAGAAGCAGCCATAAAGGCCAAGCATCCTCACCTCTTTCCTTCCGATTCCACTTCAGCTTGAGGTAATAGTTCCTCTTCAGTTTTTCAGTCATTCAGGCGCAGTTTTAGTCTTAGCATCATGTTCCTTCAGGTTGTACTTGCATTTTCAGTTTATCTGCATACTACTGGAACTTAGTTCAGTTAGAAATTAGTTTCAAATGTTTAGCGATAGGGGTGCAGTTTTCTCCCTCCATTTCAGCAAGTTTAGTCTTCATTCGAGGACGAGTGTTCCCAAGGGGGAGATAATGTAACATCCCGTATCCTAGACATATTAGATTACAGATTTCAGAAGCTAAAAGTGCCACCGACGGACCGTAGGGTGACCCACGATCCATGTTGGTGGTCCATGGATGGTCACCTGAAGCCCTCCCCAGAAAAGTCCCAAAATTTTGGCTATTTATCGACTCACGTCGGGACCTACAAATCATAGATCAGGCCACGGTCCGTGGGCCGTAAGTCAGACCCCCAAATTCCAGTCTCAGTCGCCGATCGATAGTTGACCAGCACTGACCGTCAGTTGATCCACGATTCGTCGGTCCTATCCATCGATGATCCTGACAACTTTTAAGTCAGGGGTCTTTTGGTCTTTTCCTTATGCGTTGGACCCCTAAACTACGTCGTTTAACCCCTAAACTATGTAGTTTTGGTCAGTTTTAGCCTAGTAAACAAACTAGAACTTACCTAAGTTAGATCATTCACCAAAACTTAGAAAACTAGAACGTAAAGAGGAGAAAAAAGTCAAGAACCCTAATTTAAGAACGATGTAGGTTTAATCAGTTTCAGCTGCAAAATCGAAAGATTTCTCCGTGGAATTCGTCACCAAGTATGTGGGATTTCACTAGTGGGTTCCTTTCGCCCATTATGTCCCTAGATTTCAGTTAGAATCTTGATTCCCCTAATATTATCTAGACCTAGGGTTTCTTGAATGTTAGAAATTGTTGGATTTTAGCTGTTAGAATGATCCAAGTCAGATTATCATGAATTCAGTATCTTTTGGTGTAGATTCTTTCATGAATTCAGAACCCTAGCTATGTAGTTTTTTTAGTTCATGAATTACACATGCGAGGTCAGATATTTCAGACACAAAAATACATGCCTCAGTTTTTGAATGTCCATTATCAGGATATTAATGTTGCATGCCAGTATTTTGAGATATCCAGTATTACAACATTTCAGTCATAGAATGTTAATTACTTAATCAATTGGGAAAAACTTAATACCGAGTGAACTAGGATCAGTCACCCTCAAGTCCCAGAACTACGTGCCCCGTAGGTTGTAAGTCCCCTCTGTGGACATTATTTTAGTGATCACGCCAACATGCCTCTATACCTCTGGCAACGTATATTGGGTCATCTCGATGGGGCATATACATCAGACTCCACATTTAGCACATGTAGTTTTATGTCGATTATTAGTAGCTCCCTTACAGTTCAGTCAGATTTTAGTGCATTGACCATGTTATCTGTATAGTTCACTATTCAGTCTCAGCATGCTATAAACGTGGTCATTGCATTCAGTTTAGCCATGTTCAGTATTTTCGGTATCATTATCATGATCAAATTATATCCTTGCTTTATTGCTTGTTCAGTTATGTTATTATTCAGCTTTACTCTATACTGCATGCTCAGTACCTTTCAAGTAGTGACACATACTCTTCACTACATCTTCTCGTGATGTAGGTTCAGGTCCTCAGCAGTCAGATCACGCATAGATCGAATCCCGATCTTCAGTTCAACAACATCAGTGGTGAGTCCTCATTCTTCAAGAACAATTGACATGTTATCTTTCCATTTTAGTCTTTAGTTTTCAGTTTTTGCTAGATTTAACTAGGGCATGTCGCAGTACTTCTAGTCAGTTTAGAGGATTACTTTAGACATAGTTAGTTTTAGCTTTAGTGTTTGAGTTTGACTTTTCAGTTGTTTTTGAACTCTCACTTTTCAATTATTCAGATAGTATATGGGTATTCCCTATTATTTCAGTTTACATGATGATTTAGCTTCCGCACAGTATGTCTTTACTTTAGTTTATCTTTAGTATGATTATGATATGCTAGCAGGGTTAACTTAGGGTCACTCGTGATCCTAGGTCCCGTGTCCGTGTCTTGGGGGTAGCTTCGGGCAGTGACAAGAGTGAAGTGTGCACAACTTCAAGCCTTAAGAAGGGATTTTAAGACTCTGCAGATGAAGGAAGAAGAGTCTGTAACGAGTTATTGTTATAAAACAATGGAGATAAGCAACACAATGTGATTTCATGGTGAAAAGATGACTGATGTCACAATTGTGGAAAAGATATTGCGCTCTCTAACACCGAAGTATGACTATGCCGTTTGCTCCATTGAGGAGTCAAAAAATATAGATTAGTTATCGCTTGACAAATTGCAAAGTTCCTTATTGGTACATAAGCAAAAGATGAACTACTGAACCGTAGTTCATCTTTTGAAGAGCAGGCTTTGAAGGCATCTACTAATACTCGTTGTCATAAATTTCAGAGCCAATGATGTCATCTTCAGAGGAAGGAATTTTGACAAATCCAAAGTAGAATGCTATCGATGTCATAAATTTGGTCATTATAAGTCTGAATGTTATACTAGGCTGCCTAATGACAAGTATGAGAAGTCAAATTTTGCTGAAAGTAACGAAGTTGAGACATTGTTGATGGCAGTCCAAGTAGAGAAGGAACCTGAACAAAACATTTGGTATTTGGATACGGGTTGCAGTAATCACATGTGTGGAAGTAAGTCTTCTTTTTTCCTTTTTAAATGTAAACTTTCGTTCAACAATTAGTTTTGGTGATTCTTCCACTGTGAGTGCAATTGGAAAGGATGATATTAAGATTAGAACCAAGAATGGTTTTGAAGAAACGATCTCAAATATGCTATATGTTACTACTTTGAAAAGCAATCTGCTAAGTGTTGGTCAATTGCAAGAAAAAGGATATGTTATAAGTATTGAGAAAGGTGCATGTAAGATTTATAATCCTACTAGACGGGTTATTGCTGTTGTGAAATTGAGTTCAAACAGGTTGTTCCCGCTGAAGATAAAGAATATTCACCGTTGTTTGAAAGCAGAAGTAAGAGATCTGTCATGGTTGTGGCATTTTAGATATGGTCACTTGGGTTTTGGAGAATTAAAAGTTCTCTAACAAAAAAATATGGTGATAGGTCTTCCTGAAATTACAATTTTGTCCCAAGTATGAGAGGAATGTGTTGTTGACAAACAACATCGTTCTCAATTTCCAAAGCAAAGTCGTGGAGAGCCAATGATGTTTTGGAACTTTTGGACATTTATGGCCCAATTAAACCAGCTTCTAATGGAGGTAAACGATACTTTATTACGTTTACTGATGATTTTTCTTGAAAAACTTGGGTTTATTTTTTACATGAAAAATCTGATGCTTTTAAAGCATCTGAAAGCTTCAAGGTTCATGTAGAAAATAAGACAGGAAAGAAAATCAAGACTCTTTGGATGGATTGTGGTGGAGAGTATTGCTCTAAAGTTTTTGATGATTTTTGTGAATTTGATGGAATTATAAAAGAGCTTACATCATCTTATACACCACAAGAAAATCGTGTATCAGAGAGGAATTAAAATAGAACCATCATCAATATGGTTCGGAGTTTGCTAGCAAAAGGAAGAGTGAAAAAGAGTTATTGGCCATAAGCGATAACTTGGAGCATTCACGTCTTAAACAGAAGCCCTACATTTTCTATTAAGAACATGACTCCCGAGGAGGCGTGGAGTGGAATAAGGCCCACTATAGATCACTTTTGAATTTTTGGGTGCATTACGTATGCACATGTCCTAGATGAGAAAATGAAGAAGCTCGATGATAAAAGTGAAAAGTGTGTATTTCTTGGTGTTAGTGAAACATCCAAGGCATATAAATTATTTAATCCACAAACGGAAAAAATTCTGATCAGTCGAGATGTTTTTTTTGAAGAAACTACTTGGGATTGGAATATGCAGCAGCCTACCCCAGTCCTATATGAGAATGAAGTTGAAGAACCAGCATTAATACCTGGAAATTCAGAGGATTATGCTCCTACAACCGCTGAAATTACACCAACAACTAGTGGAAATTTTTTCCAGCAGCTTTGGAAGAAATTGATTCAACAGCTCAGTCACTTCGGCATTCTCGTAAAAGGCCTGCATGAATTTCGAACTATGATGTAACATGAATTGAGGTAAATGATGATGCAATTACTCATTTTGCATTGTTTGCGGACTGCGACCCTACAATTTTTAAGAGTGCCGTTAGAGAAGAAAAATGGAGAAAGGCGATGGATGCTGAAATTGTAGCTACTGAAAGGAACGATAGTTGGGAGCTTATTGATCTTCCTGAGAAGTAGAAAACCATTGATGTCAAGTGGGTCTACAAGACGAAACTAAAGGAAAATGGTGAAATTGACAAATATAAGGTGTGATTGGTGGCTAAGGGATACAAGCAAGAGTACGGTGTGGACTACACTAAAGTTTATGGTCCAGTTGCAAGGCATGACACCATCAGAATGGTAATTGCATTGGCAGTGCAAAACTCATGGCCTATCTTCCAGTTGGAAGTCAAATCAGCTTTCATACACGGATATTTGGAGGAAGAGATATTTATCGAATAGCCTCATGTTAAGGTTGGAAATGAGAATAAAGTTTATCGCTTAAAGAAGGCCCTTTACGGACTAAAACAAGCCCCCCGAGCTTGGTATAGTCTCATTGAGGCTTATTTTCTGAAAATGGATTTTCAAAAGTGTCCATATGAGCATACACTTTTTGTGAAGATTGGGAATGATGCGAAAATCCTTATTGTATACTTATATGTTGATGATCTTATATATACTGAGAATGATAGTGCCATGTTTGTTGAATTCAAGAAGTCTTTGATGGATGAGTTCGAGATGTTTGATCTTGGTAATATGCATTACTTTCTTGGATTAAAAGTGGTGCAATCTGATTATGGGATAATTTTTTTCCAAAAGAAGTATGTGCGAGAAATTTTAGATAGGTTCAAGATGCTGAACTGCAATCCCACCAACACACCAGTTGAGTTTGGCTTAAAACTAAACAAAGTTGGGAGAGGAACGAAGGTGGATAGCACTCTTTACAAACAAATTGTGGGCAGTATAATGTACCTCAAAGCCACAAGACTCGACACTATGTATGCAGTAAGTCTTGTAAGTAGATAGATGGAGAGTCCAACAGAGATGCATTTTCTAGCTGCGAAGAGAATTCTTCACTACTTACAAGGAACGAAAGATTTTGGCATTTTCTACCAGAAAGGAGAACAATCAAATTTGATTGGCTTTACGGACAACGACTATGAAGGAGATCAAGACGACAGAAAGAGCACTTTCGGCTATGTTATTTTGCTAGGTACAGGGGTTGTTTCGTGGTCTTACCGGAAGCAAAAAATTGTCACTTTATCGAGTACTGAAGCGGAATTTGTTGCTTCTACAGCTTGTGCTTGTCAAGTTGTTTGGTTAAGAAGATTTTTTGAAGAAATACAATTCAAACAAGAAAGAGCAACTACAATTTTTTGCGACAACAACTCTACCATCAAGTTATAAAAAAATTATGTGCAACATGGAAGGAGAAAGCACATTGACGTGAAGTATTACTTTCTGCGAGATCTCAACGACGAAGGAACTATAGAGTTGGAATATTGCCGAAGTGAAGACCAACTGGCAGATATCTTTACCATACCTCTCATGTTGTTTCCTTTCCAAAATTTGAGGAGGTTGATTGGAATTGGCACTATGGAAGAGTTCAAGAAGTTGAAGTTAAGCTAAAGCACGAGAACTTTCAATTTAAAGGAGGGTGTTAGTTTTAAAAGAGTCTCATCGGTAAAATAAGAGTTGTTAGAAAATAAAATTCTTATCTGATAGGTTTGTCCTAGTCTTTAGGAAGTATTTTTATACGTGGGTTGTCATCTAGTTTTTAGGAAAAAGCTTTGTAGGATAGTTCCTAATTTTTTGTTTAAGTATGTTGTGTGTTTTTGTGCTATATAAAGACTGCACAACAACACTGAAAAGTATCAATCAAGGAAATTTCTTTTCACGTTTACTGTCTCTCTTTCTCTATTCTATTTTTGCTTCTTGAATTTGTTTTGCTATCACCTTAGACTTTCAAAGGATCTAATAGTTGTTGGGTTTATTGATTTTAAACACTCTACATAAATTTTGTTTTAGAGAGATGGTGAGGATTGAGAAAGGAAGAGAGTAAGAATGTGAAGAGATGAAGCAGAGGGTAAAGAAAGAAAAATGTGGACACAAATATAACACGTGTTTGCCATTTACTTAACTCATTTGGAACCTCTGCAATTGCAGTTAAAGTACCTAAATAACCCTCTTTTTAGTACAATTCGCCTTGTTTTTTGTACAATAGGGTGATGCAGTGTTGGTCCTAGCCTATTGGCTTATATAATATAGAATTTTTAGGAAAAAGCTTTGTAGGATAGTTTCTAATTTTTAGTTTTAAATCTGCTGTGTGTTTTTGTGCTATATAAAGACTGCAGTAGAAACACTGAAAAGTATCAGTCAAGAAAATTTATTTTCACGTTTACTTCCTCTCTTTCTCGATTCTATTTTTGCTTCTTGAATTTGTTCTGCTATCACCTTAGACTTTTGAAGCATCTAAAAGTTGTTGGGTTTATTGATTTGAAATTCTCTACATAAATTTTATTTTAGAGAGATGGTGAGGATTGGAAAAGGAAGAGAGTAAGAATGAGAAAAGATGAAGCTGAAGGTAAAGAAAGAAAAATGTGGACACAAATATAACATGTGTTTGCCATTTACTTAACTCATTTGGAACATCTGCAATTGCAGTTAAAGTACCTAAATATCCTTTTTTTAGTACAATCACCTTGTTTTTTGTACAATAGGGGGATGCAGTGTTGATCCTATCCTTGTTGGCTTATATAATATAGAATATGTATAAAAATCATTAACACTCCAACTTTTTTTAAAGATCAAACTCCCCTTAATTATGAATAATAGACATTCTCTTCTCTTTATGCTAATTGACTTTTTGAAATGCTCATTTCACCGTTTGCATTATCAACATTTATTTTTTCTTTTTTATTTCTTTAAAATCATGATTTTTATATAACAAATTTTCTATGGAAAAATAGATATTATTCTTCTCTATAAAAAGATAAAAGTGAAAAATAGTAATTGAGTATATAAGTTTATATGTTCTATCATAAAAAAGATCTAGATTAGCAAAATAAAGGCTAATACTTTAATAATAATCAAAGTTCTAATACTTATTTATACAAGTAAAAATAATAGGTAATGATTACTTTTGAAATATATTTCAATCTAGGTAATATAAAAGTATTAATAAAAATAGAGGTATATTTTATAACAAATATATAAAAGATCATGTATTTATATTGTAAGTAAATTTCTAATTTTTAATTTTAAAATATTCCATTATTGACAATAGAGTCCAGAACAACAGTTATGACACATTGGTGATGTGTGATGCTGAGGTGGTAGAGCTACAACATCTAAGTTTGATTTTGGTGATCTTTCAAGCTATATCTGGACTCTGTATTAATTGGAATAGAAGTCATGTATATCCCATTAATGGGGTTGCAAACTGTTGCAGTTTTTTTTGAGAATTTGCAAACTGTAGAAAGGTTGGTTGCTTCACATGGATAGTGAGTAAGAAGCTCATTCACACATGAGAATCTGCAAAAGAGGGGCGCTGTCCTAAGTAGCAAATGTTTTCTCTGTGAAAGTCAAACAGAGAGTATATGTCATTTGTTTTTGCATTGTCATGTTACTGCACAATTGTGGCATTTCTTTATGAATATGAAATGCAAAACAGATGACCTTTTGAGAGGTTGGTACAGAAAGGGAGATAGGAAGAGGAAATTTTCTTTGGTTGAAAATACTATACCTGCTTACATATGGCATTATGGAGGATTATATGGAATGAGAGAAATAGAAAATGCTTTGAAGATAGTGTCAACTCCATTCACAAGATAAGTCTAAATTGTATATTTGTGTTTGGATTTTGGTGTGGACTAGAATATGTAAATGAGGGTGAAAAGTGCTACAGGTTTTAGAATCACTAAAGGGATAGCTGAGGCTGAATTATTTTTTTTTGGTGTTGCCCTGCTGATATATAGAACAGATAAAACAGCAGTCTCTGTGCTGAAATCATTTATAAAATTTACCTTACCTTTTCATAAAATCAAAGATCAAGGCATCATCACAAAAATAAGTCAAGAAAACTAGTCTAATAGTACCTGAAGGTGAAACAAATTTTCTGTCGGCAGTTTATCATCAAAACCCTGAAAAAGCATCCAAAAAAGAAAGAAATAAGAAAATAAGGGAGAAAGACGGTGAGGTAAAACAAAATATACATAAATCAAGCAAAAACGAATAAGCACACATACTAAACCATCCATGTCTATTACATCCTCCTTCAACACACCCATCATGATACTGAGTAAATCACCACCATTTGGTGGTCCTGATTCACTTTCCATTTGTTTCTTAGCAATTGTGGCTCTCAACTTTGTTGCCAAATCGTTCTTTCCAGTTTCGGCAATTGCATTGTTTTGAGCAATTTGTGAAGATGATGCAGAGAGAGACACTTCAGCAGCGCGATTCTCCAGGTTCTTCTCCAATGGATGAAACAGGTCATCCAAGGAAGCATCACCAGGGGGGTCACTGAATCTGCTCAGTTCATTTCCTTGCGGTACAACTGATGTCTTCACAGCCTTCACAGTCCCGTACGCAGAATTTTCAGTAAGCGGGGTCAATAATTATAGAAGAAAGGCTAAAAATTTAATTATCACATTTTATAAGTAAGAGATATCCATGACCCACTGGTTTAGTTTTAAGCTAGAAGGTCAATCTAAGACAAGGGAGTTAACAAAAATCTAACAAATGATCAGCGCTAATTAGGGTAGTCATATTAGTCTAGCAAAAAGGATAAGAGTAAGCACTTTGTTTTGAGGGAGTGATTTGGAGTTGAGATTCCATCAGAACACCTCCTATTTCTCTGATTCTATATTGAACCTCAACTCTAATTATGTTTCTTTTTTACATCTTTTCGACTGCATTAAACGTTACTCAATGTTCTTATGTAATCTATATAACTTGTTGTTATCTCATATTGTATCATTTTCTAACTATTTCTTGCTTGGAATTTTGTGAAAGATATATATATATATATATAATAAGCATAAATAATAACATTAAATTTTGTGATAAATTGCCAAAAAATAATAATATTCTAACTTATAAAGTTAATGAGCTTACAAATTTTTTAGAAATATTTGATTAATAAAAATAAATATTATATAAAAGATATTACATAAATGAAAGATTAAAATGTCAAGGATAAAATAGATATTGCATAGGATAAACGGGGAGGGAAGGAGGGAGAGGGATATCTATTGTACATAATTAAGGGGGATCAGATGGTCTATTGTTCATAATTAAGAAAGGAGTTTTTTTTCTTAAAGTATAATTGAAGGATTGTCAATGAGATATTGAATTATTTTTCATAATTTTCTCACAATGAGAAAAGTTTGTCAATAGTTGCAAAAATGGAAAGAAAAACTTTTATTTAATGGTATTTGATCGGAAAAAAGTTTTAAAAAAAGAAGAAGTTTGAAATTCTTTTTTTGTTTTTTTATACGAATAGACAATTTGGAAAGATCAAAATGGGCGGAAGAAATAAATTGACTAATCCTCAATTCTGTCTAAAGTTCATTAATTAGATCGAGATAAAATGAATTAAGATAAAGCTAAATAAATTGGGTTGTAAATTGTAATTCAACATGACCCAAAATTTCACCTAAATCTCTTTCCTTACTTATTGCTCCCAACTCTTACTATATATTTTTATTTTTTTATAATGTGCTTTTAAGATATCATGATTAATATAACTGTTCAATAATTTGTAAATATGCAGTCACTATTTTTTTTGTTCAATAGACCTCATTAATTTTTTGTTCTTTGTTTACAACTTCACATGGGAAAGTTGTTTTATAATTGATAATCTCATTTGATTCCTCATTAGAAAAGTTATAGTTTTCTTGAATAAATCATCTCTATTTTTAAGAATTAGATAGATAGACAAAATTATGTTAATTTTTGTGACACTTTCGGTTTATCGAGAATCAGTTTGATTAAATTTTAAAGCTAAATCGAATTAGATCAAC